ACCTCGTGCCAGGATGCACTTGACATACCACAGAGAAGTTCCAATGCCATCAAGACTATCAGCCCAATGAAACACATCATTCACAAGGTTGAGCAAGTTTAATTTGTGCTTGGTGAGACTTGAACAGATGACCTTGGTGTTTTCTTGTGGATTAGGGCTGAGTGCTGAATGGCTTGTGTACCCAACCAGACAAAAGGGGAATGGTGAAGAGAAGAAACAAGGACCTATTTATGTGATGTCTCTGACTCAACAAAGCAACCAGTCACAGAGAACGTGTAACCAGCAAAGAAATCATAGTCAGAATCAAATCTTTAGCATCTACTGCTCTATCTGAAGCAGTTTTCCCAGGGAGGTTTACTCATAAGTAAAGGTCAATAAAATTGAATATCATTTTCCATGAAAATCAAACCAAGATTAAATGAACAAGAAAAAAAAGTAATTACAATTCAATAAATAAATCAAAAATCAAAAAATTGTGATTTTGAGGGACAGACAATTTCTGCCACATTCAAAACAATATGGAGTGTAAGTCATAAATGCAACATAAAAAGGGCAAAATTATTGCCATTGATTGAGCAGTTTTGTGTTTCACTCCATTGAACCTCATCCTATACAACATACCTGCATGATACTAATTGGGAGTATGAAAGAGAGTGTGCCTGTGCTTGTGTTTACCTCCTGTTTTTCTTCTCCCTATGCACTAAATTTTGCCAAGTCATTTGAGGACATCAAGCTGTAGCTCATGGGAGAGGTTCATCATACCAAAATGCTCTTCACACCTTGTGTTATTGTGTTGAATCTTTGAACTCGAGACAAGCAGATGAGAGAAAATGGCACAAAAAAAAAGAGGGCCTTTTTTGGGAAAGGTTCACGGAGAAAAAAGAAGGAAACAAGCAATGATTTCTTATTCACAAGTATCTAGCCAAGGTTGAGTAGACTAAGTACAAGTGTGCAAGATGTGGTAGAAATGAAAATGAGAAAGAGTGATTATGAATAAAATCTGAGAGGAAGAAATGAATGAGTTCATGGAAGAAATAGCCGGACAAGTCTTCTCAGTCTCTGTTAGACAAGCAAGCATATTAATCATGAAAAAACATACATACTACCACAAATGTGTGAGAATTTTTTAATCCTTAACAATCAGATTTTAAGGAGTAAGCCAGATTAGAAAAAGGAGGAAGACTTTAGAGAGACATGAGTTGTTGACAAGGTCAATAAGTTTCATTCAATTAAGAAGTGAATTCAGGCAACAGAAAACAGGTTACTTAAGGGCTATAATCCAGTCTAATTCTAAGGAAGACTCAAGAAATAAAATGAGAAGAGAAGAGGCAGAATTGGTGGAATTTTGGGGAAGAGTAGGCAAAGACAGTGAAAACTCAACATATTGAAATCAGGAATGACCTGCATGACTTGGTATCATCTGTTCAAACTTGAACCCTTCAAGGCGCTACAAGGTTATAATGAATTCATCAAGGGGCTTGGAAAAAAAAACTCCTAAAAGTTAGTTGAAAACTCCCAAGGACCACCAGTGGACGTTGTGGTGTTCTAAACGGTACAGGCCCCCTCAAGGTCGAATTCCAAATTTCAACTTTCAACTTATCAATATCCTCAAGACTCAAGATTTCAACAATATCACCTCAAATCCCCTCTCAGTCCAACCGTTTCCTTCACTATATTATTTTACTATTTTTTTTCCTTTTATTATTTCATTTCCTCTGATTATTTTATCTTTATATTATTTTTCATTCATCTTGATTTTATTTTTATTTTATCATTTTATCATTCTTTATTATCTTTTTCAAATCTCCTACTCAGCAGACAGTCTTCTTTAATTTTCTTGGTCCTAAGACATCTTAGTATGTTGGTTTATTTCACTCTTGATTATTTTGTTTTTTTTTGTTCTATTCTGTTCTGTCTTGTTCTGTTCTGTTCTGTGTTGTGTTGTGTGTGTTGTGTTGTGTTGTGTTGTCTTTGCTTTCTGGTTGAGTTGTGTGTAGTTAGGGATGTGATGACATGTCTGTGACATGTCACTCCACAGAGTCAAAGTTCAGTTTGAACTGAGATGATGGGGAAGCATGGCACTCTGATCTGATCCAAGATAGACCCATCAAATATTATTGATCCTTTTATCATTGATTCATCTGATCCTCATACTCACCTTCACAGATCCTCAACCTCAACAACCGCCACAGAAATCAAATTCTGTTGTCTCCTCTCAGAAAACCAACCAACCCCAACACGTTTTTGTTCAGATCACAGCTCAATTTATCCGGACCCCACTTGAAGGCAGCCCTCAAAGCACTTTCCCTTCAACCAACTGCCTACCGCCTGGCACGATAGGAGTTCCACAACGTCCCTTGGGAGTCGTCCACTAATTTGGGGGTTGCTTTTGGGAGTTGTCCCCCCATTATCATTTTTTATTATTATTTCTTGGGAGTCGGCTCCCCAAACCACCTCTCATGCATGGGGGGGCTTGGGAGTTGTTCCCTCCTGACCGGAAGGAATCCCTTCTAGTCATGCAACTCATTGAGAGGAAGGATTCCCTTCCAGTCATGTACCTCACTGACAGGAAGGAACCCGCTCTGGTCAATGGGGTGCAAACACCTCATTGACTGAAAGGGATTCCTTCCAATTGATGAGGTGCAAAGACCTCATCAACCAGAAGGTATTCCTTCCAATAAATATGGAAGGGATTCCTTCCAATTGATGAGGTGCAAAGACCTCATCAACCAGAAGGTATTCCTTCCAATAAATATGGAAGGGATTCCTTCCAATTGATGAGGTGAAAAGACCTCATCAACCAGAAGGTATTCCTTCCAATAAATATGGAAGGAATTCCTTCCAATTGATGAGGTGCAAAGACCTCATCAAATGGAAGGAATTCCTTCCAATTGATGAGGTGCAAAGACCTCATCAAATGGAAGGAATTCCTTCCGATGAGGTGAAAAGACCTCATCAAATGGAAGGGATTCCTTCCAATTGATGAGGTGAAAAGACCTCATTGACCAAAAGGAATTCCTTCCAGTTGATGAGGTGCAAATAGGAATGGATTTACCTCATTGACCCATTCCAATCAATGAGGTGCAAGGGTCTCATCAACCGGAAGGAATCACTTCTGGTCAATGAGGCAAATCTGTTGAAATCTTATTGTGATCTCTCTGTGAAAGCTACACTCTCTTCCACTGTATTCCATCACATACTATTAATTATAGAGATGTCAGCAGGTACCCGCCAACAGGTACTAGGTGTGGGTGCGGGTTTCAACTTTTGGAAAAAAAAAACGGCGGGTACCCGCCTTACACCTGCCCTGACACCTACTAATTAGTAAGTCAGCTCAGAGCAGGGCTGATCGGAGACAGATGGAGCCTGTTTCTGATCCTCATAACTGAAGGATCAGTCAGCCAGCCACCGATCCAGGCCCTTCCTGGTTTCTTGAGTCTCACAAAGTACATACACTGCTTTTTCATCTTTGTCTCTATGCCTTTTCATGATCAGAAATGCGGAATGATAACACCTTTCAACAGATAAACCTAAAGGGGATTGATAAGCACACTCTTCCCCCCTTTGCGCATGCACTCCCACACTCCCCTCTCTGAGGGAAGTGTGGGACCGTACACCAATCAAAATTGGTGTGCGGGTCCGCACGCCAACGCATTGCAGGGGTTATTCCCTGCAGATTGGTGTGCAGGGCTGCACGCCAGCCAGCAACAAGCCTTATCCCATAGGACGGGTCCTATGGGATAGCCCATAGTACTATTTAACATGAAAAAAAGAAAACGGTGGGTTCCTCCCAGCCTAAAGTTTTCAATGGCTCAGGGCCAAGAGGAACTCCTCTCGGCCTTGAGACCTGTACGGTCTTGAGGTCGGTCCAGCCTCGAGGCAGCAGTCAGACTGCTGGGAGGGGCTCCTCCCGGCGAGCCGGTTTTCAAACTGGTCATCGGAAGGAATCCCTTCCAACAAGCTGGTTTATATACCTGCTTGTTGGGAGGGGTTCCTCCTGGCGAGCCGACTTAGAGATTGTTTGTTCGGACCTAGGTAGCTGTTAATTTTTTTCAAGAAAATAGATACTATGTACTGCACCAGACACCTCCCAGGGAGTACCTATGGTACCTGTTGCAGGTACCTCAGGTACCTCCCCTCTCTTTCTCACTTGGTTTTCATGCAGCCTCCCCTTTTGGTAGGGAATAAAGAGACATGAAAAGATAGTGACAGCTATGAGAGTCAAACCCATGTCACAGTCATGGTACAGACCTGCTCTACCGCTGAACTAAGCCATCTGGTGCATGGCGTACAGAGGCTACAAAAGGGAAGTGAGAAGGTACCTAGGTACCTGTTCAATTTTTCACAAAAATAGGTACCAAGTACCACACCTGGCACCTCCTGGTGGGTGTGGGGCGTGTGTGAGGGGTACCCCCCAGGAGGTACCAGGTACCTGCAGAAAGTACCGACAAACAATCTCTAAGCCAACTGTTAAGCCAGCTTGTCGGGGGGAACCCCTCCCGACAAGCTGGTATACCGACCAGCTCGTCGGAAGGAGCTTGGTGGTGAACGCAGAAAGAAGAGAGTAAAAAATGAATAGCTGTACAACAGAGTAATACCTTAGCGTGTTCCGGCCACATAGAATGACACCCATCTGATCCAAAACCTCAACCGGTCAGGTGGTCATCTTATTATTGGGCCAAGCAGGTTTGAAACCCGGCTTGCCAGGAGGAACCCCTCCCAACAAGCTAGTGTATAGACCAGCTTGTCGGAAGGGATTCCTTCCAACAAGCAGGTTTAAAACACCGGCTCTCCGGGAGGAGCCCCTCCTGACAAGCTGGTCAACAGAGGCCATCTTGCCGGGTGGAATCCCTCCCGAAGAGATGGTGTACAACCCATCTTGATGGGAGGAATTCCTCCCAACAAGCTAGCCGGCGGGGTGCAGGACAGGTGTCCTGCACACTTTTTTTTCTTCTTTCTTTCTTGTTTTTTCTGGTGTGCTTGGCCGCACGCCAATCAGCATGCACAGCTGTGCGGTCCTGCACACCAATTTCAATTGGCAAGCGGTCCCACACTCCCCTCAGAGAGGGGAGTGTGGGAGTGCGTGCGTGAAGGGGGGGGGGAGTGTGCTTATCACTCAGATCAAGACAAAAAATGACATTACAGTCTTCAAATACGTGGAACCCAGTCCTCCTATGGTTTGTACAATCAGCCTGATTGATCATACCTGGATATAATTTCCACATCATCGTTGCCGGAACTTCAAATAAATACATAATTGACAACGTATACATACATCTATCTTAACTTCCATTCACCACAGACAAACAAGCCCGGCAAGCTGGTCACCACAACAAATTGGGATTACGACCTCACTCAATCCTCATCCGGACTTTGTAGAGTACTCATGGGTTTCCTGATGATGTGCTTCTTATATCTCTACATGAAGTATGATGCCCCAGTCTTCCTTCAATCGATCATGCCACTCAAAACGGTTTATGACAACAATTGGTCTTCTTCTTACCTCACCCCTGATCCTGACTGCCTCTCCTGATCAGATCAAACTCAATCTGGATACTTGCCAAGAATTTTCTGATCACTGACTGAGTTTCCTTTTTCCAGAACTCGTCCAGATCCATCTGTTCGGCCACCCCACAACAGGAGACTATAAGAGGCCATTCCAAACGTCTGGATTCATGGGTACACGGACTGTTGATTTGTCTTGATTGAATATTAGAAGATAACCTTCTCATTATTGTTTTTTTTTTGGTTTGGTGAACAGGTGCTGCTACAAATGCTAAGACGGATGCCAAGAGCATCAAATAGGCTGAACAGGCTAGTGTCAAGAAAGAGCAGTAGTTGTTGTTTATATCCCCCCGCCCCTCCATCAATCCCCCTCTTGATTTGTCTTCTTGTTTGTCTCTCTGGCTATTTCTTTAGGGGCTTGGAAAAACAACTCCCAAATTTTAGTTGCCGACTCCCAAATACGGTTGTCCAACGTCGAATGGGAATCGTTTTTCCGAATGGATGG